CTAAATGTGGAAGCTTCAGTCACCAAGTAGGACCTCGGTCACTGAGCTGTACTTTGTTCAGATTAATACCACAGATGATTCATGTCCAGTTGTATCAATCCCAAGCAGTGGCTTGTCAACTGAAGAATTTCCTTTTTTTAGTTGGGTATTGAAACTGAATGGGGTGTAATCACTCAGAGGTTAAAGACGTTGAGCCTGTCAGCTGGAAAGCTGACAGTCTGGGTTTGAGACCCAAGCTCACACAACAGGGTGACTGTCCCCTTACTTGCTCCAGCTCCTGCCTACCTAGCAAAAGTGTGCAAATGCGAGCAGATAAATATCACTTTGGTGGGATCAGCAGCAGCGCAATCAGTGCGACGAGCCTCGAGGCCTGTAGCTGGAGGAAGAGGATGAGATGGATGGAGGAAGTGTGGAAAATTTTCCTGGGCTGCAGCCACACCTAGACCTACAAGGAATGGTGCCTAGCCCACAGCATCTGGAGAGTCCTCCGGCAATCCTCTTCCCTCCAGCTCAATAGGAGATGCCTCCACCTACAACACAGTCATGCGGCAGCCTGGATCTGGAACCTATAAAAACCCAGGAGGAGCCTGGCATCAGCTTGGTCGCACATTCCTTGACCCAGACGGCTTGGAGCTGGGGCACCTTGGGGCCTCTGCCAGTCAGCAGGGCAGCCTAGGCAAGATTGGTGTTGCCAAAGCCAGCCTGGTGCCTAGCTAAAAGGGGAAGTTGTCAGAGGAGGAAGGCAAGCAGAAGCCTCAGAAACAGGAAGGGCCCAAATCCTGCAGGACTGGTTCTCTAGCTTGATCCTCCAGCCTCCGCCGGCCAAAGGCACCAAGAAGCCCAAAGTGAACTGCAGGAAGGTGATGGCGTGCTGAACATAATGATGAGGGCCATGGTAGCTACAAGGGACTTGTAGCTGCAAACTTCTCCCTGTGGAAAAGCAGAGCCTGCAGAAGCCCCTCTCTGGGCAGAGAAGTTGAGTACCACCTGTCTCCTCAGTGGTGGGACTTTGGCAGTTAGGACGGTGCAACGAGCCTCGAGGTTTGCAGCCGTGAGCAGCAGCAGTGGTGCAATCAATGTGACAAGCCTCGAGGCCTGCAGCCATGAGCAGCAGCAGCGGCGCGATGCGCCATGTGGCATGTGGCCACAAGCAGCTGCAAAAGAACTTGGGCAGTGGTCTGACATTTGTTGGGGCATGGGAGGTCCTAAGGTAACCGGATGTGGGGTGCCTGGGGCAGCTCACTCCCCCATCCTAGCTTTATTTTTACATACGCGCCAGGTATTATTTAATATTTTTCATTAATATTTTAAAACTCTTTCTTATAACATAATCTAGTTTTTTGTACCTCTTTTATTGTTCTTATTTAAGTATTAAATGCATGAAATAATAAACTACCTTTTGGTATATCATTTTTTATATACTTAAAACAGTCACTAGGGTTGTTAAATTTGAATCCCACCACTTTCTTTACTTTTTTTAAAAACAGGAACTGGGAATCTAGAGGTTGCCTCCTGAATTTTCTCCAAGCTTTTGAGATAAAATCTCACCTATTGATGATTTCAACCATTTGGAAGGGAGTGCAGGGTCAGAGAAAACATTTTTCTGTAATTTCTTAAGGAGGAATCGTGACATCACATCCATCTTTGTTCACAAATATCTGCTGCTGAAGTTATTATTCTTTATCAACCAAGAAGTTCTGGTTCCAGCCTTATTGGTTTTGGGAGGATGAAACAGGAGCCAACACAAAATAAATAAACTTGTAGAACGAGTGGCGAAAAATGTGATTTTTGCAGGGAGCAAAATGTAAGTGTTAGAAAGTTTATTAGGGAAAAAATTGTCTAGGAAATTTCTGCTGCCTCTAATTGTAACGAACTGTTCAATTGTTTAATGAAATTAAGTGTTTAATGAAGCAATCTGTTTCATAGTATTTTAGTGACTAGATTATAATTATAATTATCATAATGTATAAATGGATTTTAAAATTCACTTACAGTGTGGAGCAGCTGCTAAGTAAGAAAATGTTTCAGCCAAAGTTATACTTTTTTTTAAAAGACTAATCGAGCTGATGGGTTAGTATTGAGTATCAAAGGGCAGGCTCTTTCATCAAGATTTAAGATTTCTTTATTTCATTATTTCATTTCATCTTCATCAGAGCAATATAATTAGAATCAGGCAAGGGGGAAACAGATGCATGACTTGGCCATGCTTTCCTCTGTGCTTCACCATCAACTTTTGCAATCTCTGTTGTGTAGTATATAAACTTTGTATTGCTAATGGTTTTTATCAGTCCTCACATACTTTTGAATCAGTTATCACCACTATTTGTGGCTTTTGATAGCAGTCTTAACAGTTTTTTTTTCTCTTAAATAAGTCTTGTATCTGGGCATGTACAGGTAGTCCTCAACTTACAGCTACAACTGAGCCCAAAATTTCTGTTGCTAAGCAAGAATGTTGCCTCATTTTATGACATTTCTCGCCAAGTGAATCATTGCAGTTGTTAAGTTAGTGACACGATTGTTAAGTGAATCTGGTTTCCCCATTGACTTCTTTGTCAGAAGGTCGCAAAAGGGGATCACGTGATTCCAGGACACTGCAACTTTATAAAAATCCGTCAGTTGCCCAGTATCTGAACTTTGATCAAATGACCATGGGGATGCTGCAGCAGTCATAAGTGTGAAAAACAGTCATAAGTCCCTTTTTTCAGTGCCGTTGTAGCTTTCAACAATCACTAAATGAACTGCTGTAAGTCGAGGACCACCTGTATCTGTTGTTTCAATTCCTTTTCTTAACAAGTTAGCTTTACTGGCATCCAAGGTAGAATTTATCGAGACCTGGAGATCATCACGCAGGTAGTTGGCTATTCAGGTGCTCTGATAAGCCATCACAATTAATCCCTAATTGGAAACCTAAGCAGATTGTAGCTTTTATTGTTTTTTTTTTTTAATGTCTAATCTGGACTCTTGAAGAGTTTGATATTAGTCACTGAGTTTCTATCAACTGTTATCCTTTAATCTAGAAGCCAAAAACATGAGGAATTGAGAAATGAGAAATTTTATTGATTGTCTTAGGGCTTGACATTTGCTATGATTAAAAAAAAAGCCTCCAATACCTCCTGCTCTACTCGTCTAAAACATTTGAAGAACTTGATAATTACTGAAGGACCATTTCTAACCTGCACTTAGTCACTTCTTTGACCAAGTGACAAAATTAGTGGATCAGAGGAATGCTGTGGACATAATTTACTTGGACTTCAGTAAGGCATTTGATAAAGTAGATCACAACCTACTACTTGACAAGATAGAAAAATGTGGGGTAGACAGAACCACCACCAGATGGATCCGTAGCTGGCTGACCGGCCGTACTCAGCGAGTGGTCCTCAATGGAACTGCATCTATATGGAGGGAAGTGTGTAGTGGGGTGCCCCAGGGCTCTGTTCTGGGCCCAGTACTCTTCAACATCTTCATCAACGATTTGGATGAAGGGATAGATGGGGAACTCATCAAATTTGCAGACGACACCAAGCTGGCAGGAATAGCCAACACTCCAGAAGACAGGCTTCAGATACAGAAGGATCTGGACAGACTTGAACACTGGGCACTAACTAACAAAATGAAATTCAATGGTGAAAAAAGCAAGGTTCTACATTTAGGCAAGAAAAACCAAATGCACAAGTACAGCATAGGTGGCACCATGCTCAATAGTAGTAACTGTGAGAGGGACCTCGGAGTCCTAGTAGACAATCACTTAAATATGAGCCAGCAGTGTGCTGCAGCTGCCAAAAAGGCCAACACAGTGCTAGCTGCATTAACAGAGGGATAGAATCAAGATCACGTGAAGTATTAATACCACTCTTCAATGCCTTGGTAAGGCCACACTTGGAATACTGCATCCAGTTTTGGTCACCACGATGTAAAAAAGATGTTGAGACTCTAGAAAGAGTACAGAGAAGAGCAACAAAGATGATTAGGGGACTGGAGGCTAAAACATATAAGGAACGGTTGCGAGAATTGGGTATGTCTAGTTTAACGAAGAGAAGGACAAGGGGGGACATGATAGCAGTATTCCAATATCTCAGGGCTGCCATAAAGAAGAGGGAATTAAGCTATTTTCCAAAGCACCTGAAGGCAGGACAAGAAGCAACGGGTGGAAACTAATCAAGGAGAGAAGCAACCTAGAACTAAGGAGAAACTTCCTGACAGTGAGAACAATTAATCAGTGGAACAGCTTGCCTCCAGAAGCAGTAAATGCTCCAACACTGGAAGTTTTTAAGAAGAGACTGGACAGCCATTTGTCCGAAATGGTGTAGGGTTTCCTGCCCGAGCGGGGGGTTGGACTAGATGACCTCCAAGGTCCCTTCCAACTTTACTACTATTACTATTACTTACTGAGATTTAAATTTCACAAAGGAGTCTGGTGTACTGGGGAAGTTATTGCTGCTTATATAACAGAGATCCACAGTGTGTCCCAATTGTGCAATTTTAGAGATGTTTTAAAAGACATGGGAAGGGATAATCTTATATATACACTGTATGTGGTTTACAAGGACATATTCCAACAAAGTTTATGATTTGAATGTAGGAAATTTCAACTTTAAAGATATTTAAAAGTTTCTTATATAGATATCAGATTGATTTGATTTCAAAAGCCACTTCATTATGAAATAAGAGTTAAAGTATCCAATAATGGAACATCAGTGGATGCAAGTCTTTTAAATGCTGTATGTTTTTAATTTAACATTGGAATTAATCCATGAAAAGTATTTTTATTATTGCAGGTTTATTGGACATCCCAAAGAATGCATCAGAAGGGATGCATTCTTACCCTGTTGGCAGGGTAAGAAATTTGAGGGTTAACCCAAGATATTTGGCCTTGTATGTTATTGTGGTTATCTTTTGAAATATCTCATATAAATAAATTCATGGTTAAATATGTTCACATTAAATATGTGAATACTATTTTAAATGATAATAAGGGGTTCTGGAATTTTATTATTTTTAAGGAACTTTGGTTATACCAGGCATGGAGAATATCTAAGAGAATAATATTGTGAGACTGGAAAAAATACAGCTACACTGAACATCAAGGATTGGGTTAAAGAGAGGTAATTTTTCAATTTCTCAGAAGGTCTTTTAACTGCTAATATCTGTTTATTTAGGGAATATAATTTAACAATTACATTACTATATATGCTGACTGGTATACACTGCTGTTTTTTAAATTTGTTTCTGTTTTCTGTGTACATTTTGAAATTATAATAAAATATTCTTTAAAAAGTATTCAGGTTATATAAATGAGAAGGTTTGCTGATGATTAGAAATTGCCTAATGAGTAAATTGTAATATAAATAATTAATCTGAGTCTTCAGGATTGCTAATTTACAAAAAAAAAATCATGCCTTAAAATTCAAGGTAAAAAGTTCAGTTATTAATATAGGAAATGTTTTGCTACCATAGTTGCAGATCAACTCAGACTCATCAATCCTTGTCCAGACTTTAGGGTAGAATCAGCATTTGGTGTACAAATTCAAGAATGTGGTATGCAGGATTTCTAAGAAAGAAAGTACCATTGAGCAAGATGCAGTAGTATGGAACTAAAGAACTGAAACAAAGGAGTTTCAGCATCACCAACTTTCACACCAATTTTTCATTGGATAATTAAGGTAAGTAGCTGCCACATCATTATAAATACCATTTATATCAGGATAATGCAGATGATTCCAAGGGAAGCTTCCAATCAGCAGAAAGAACTAAAAAAACAAACAAACCATTGTAAGAAAGAACTGGTTCTTACTACTAAGAATCAGTGTCTGAGGAGTGCCCATCATTGTTATTAGTCATATTACAAAAAATAATACATTTCCAAATGCTTTCTATGAGGAACTAAGAGTTTATAAAATGTGATCATTCCATTATTTCAATGTGCATGAACCCCAGAAATGTGCTTAAACAAGGAGATCTTGAACAAAGGCCTACTGAAATTCACCCATCATTTATTTCATTTTTACGTCAATTGATACAGCCACCCATCTCATAAATTGGAAGTGTGGGTAGTGAACATAGGATTAAAAACAAACACCACAATGATATTTAAGACCTAATGGAAAGGTGAGGCTGTGGAGAGATCATCAATATATTATAAATAATATATTTAAACAGCGTTTACACCCAGTGCATTCAATCAATCAACTGCTTTATGTTGTTCCAGGGTAAAAGTCTTTGCAAAGTTGGATCTAGTCCAAATGTATCAGCAACTATCATCACTCACCATTGATTGAGCATTCTGAGCTAAATATCTTCAGAGGTCAAATCTACATGGCTCCTGAATTATTTTTGATAAACTTCCACAAAAGTTCTAGTTTCTGGAATCTCAGGAGTTATGCCATACTTTGATGATCTTCTAATTATGATGTCAACAGTGGAGGAACTTGCTATTATACTTAGAAAATGTTGAGTCATTTCGAAAGTTCTCCCTTGACATACCGAAAACCTATAAAAAATCCACATATATCAACTGGGGAATATGGGAAACAAATCATCTATAAATCTTAAATAAAGGAAAGATTAGCAAAATTCTTTGTGATGTCATACACCTACAGTAATGGTATGTATAATACCAACGCATAACATTTTTGTCCACTTTTTGTCACGCATAGCTGTATATCAACAATACAGTTCAGTAATGTTTCTTGAGGAGGTAAAAAAAATCAAGTATATCTTTGGCTGAACGAAATTGATTGCAATATGTTAGTTTGTCTCTTCCCCCCCCCCCAAAGGACTGCTTCTGTCAGCATCTTTTCTTGATTCACAGCTGAGATGCAGGACCTCCCAAGCAACAGCCAAAAACACCAGGTAAGAAAACAACCCATATTTTGGAATCCATCAGTTTCCACTGTCAGTTTGTATATGTTCTGCACTTTGTTTATCCCTAATGAGAACAGGTTGTAAATGTCAATTGGACAAAAACCATGGAAAATTCTTTTAAAAGGTGAAGTTGAGCTTCCAGGTAAAAAGGTGTCATTTAGCAGCATGAAAGCTGTAAATCCCAGCAGAGTTACCAGTGGGGAAAGGACAGTTAAGGTAGCATTGCCAGTTACATGCATTTTTAAAGAATGGATTCATGTGGCTATCAGACAACGAATGAAGAGAGAGACTTATGGCATGTAGAAGAGGCTATTCAAAATTCAAAGGGGGAGAAAGCCATATACATCCTATCTTTTTCCAGCTGGAGTATATGAAAGTACTCTGAATCCTGCTTCTTTGGCAGTCTTCTGCTATCCACTCTGATGCTTTTTGGCACCACATAAGCCCATGCATTTTGGCATGCTGATGCTCTGAGCAAGTTGGATCTTTAATGCACAAAGGAGCAGGGTAGTTCCAGTCTAAACCTCCACTGGATAATTTTATCTTGTCTGGTTGTGTCTTCTTTATGCTATTGAAAATAAGCCTTTAAATAACATTTCAACATTATTGCTATAACTCCCATTACTCCCAAGTTATACATTTTTCCTTATGACTTAACAAAGATTATTCTAATATATGCATTTTGGTCACTGACTTATGTAAGCCAAGGGTAAAAGAATAAAATGCAAAGGCCCAAGGACATCTGCATTCTGGTCCACCCCTTCCATTCAGGTATTTCGTTAGTCAGACTCATAATTCTTAATCTGCTGTCTTTGTTCTATGAGCCATACCCACAAAGATGGATGGATATGTAAATAAGGCAGCAGCCTACTTCAATGCAGTTTTGGTGATAAAACTGTGGGCTTGGGAATCAGATGTGTATGAACCTCTGGAAGGCAGACTACTTTAAGACTGGCAATGGTTTAAAGTCATCAGTATTCTAAAGAGAGAGACGACCTGGTAGCTTCTAAATGTGCTAAACTCTATCTCTCACTACCAGTGATAATTAACCAGACTAGCTGGGGCTGATCAGCATTTCTCAGACTTTTGTTTTTGGATCATTGCCTCCTTAGTAGTACCAAGTTTTTCATAACATCCCCTGTCTTGCGTCTATGTGAAATAAATTGTACATGTATTATTTTTTGCAAACAATCACAAATACATACAATTAAATTATAGTTATAGTTACAAATATAGTTACAATAACTGTAAGTAATTTAATATTTTAATACTTTATGTGGTGGATAGGCTTGGTGGAGATCTATTAATATTTCAATATTAGGTTTCATCTCCATAAGCAAAAGTCATAAATTGCCATATTCAACAATTTACAGATGATTACTTTGTTGTATTAAAAGTTAAAGATACAGTTCAAAATGGTGTCAAAATTCTGATATCAGTTTTGAAATTATGGCTTCAGTTCAACATCATTTTGCAATTTAATAAGTGTGTCTTCTATGAAACATCTTTCCATATTTTTTCATTTCATAATGGATGTATTACCTAAAATTAAGATGATCCTCAAATCTCTCCTTCATATCTTTATGCAACATTTGTAAATGATTAAAAAAAGTTAATTTAATTCAAATCTCATATATTCTTCAGAATATTGTCTACATTTTTTACTTTTTTGACTTTGACATTAAATAATATTTCTTTATTATTTTTAAAGAAACAATAAGCACTAAGTACTATTGAGAAAGGTGATTGACTAAGGACTAAACACCACAACTTTTCTCTTCAGCATAATCTCTCCTGTGAGGTACTTGGTATTAAGATAAGATAACTTTATTGTCACTTTTTCTGTGTACACACTGGCAGACATTAAAATGTATTTCTGATGCCCATTCTCAAAAGAACATCTATCTATCTATCCAGTGTTCTTTTTCTAAAAAAAAAAAAAAAAAGGTGCCGGAACTCACACACGTCATACAACTCACCTTGCCTACCCTACAAGGTTCCATCCAAAAAAGGTGCCAGAACTCCATTCTATGAGAAAAAAAGCCCTCTATCTATCTATCTATCTATCTATCTATCTATCTATCTATCTATCTATCTATCTATCTATCTATCTATCTATCTATCTCCATACATGTACATACAGATATACAGTGCGTATGCCGCATATATACCTATACAGCATATGTGTATATGTATGCACACACACACACAGAGAGACACAAACACACATACATATTAATCACAGTCCATTTTGAATACATAGCAGAAAAAAGAGTCTTGATATCTCCCTGATATTAGGGAGAAATGTGAAGGAATATGATTCCCCCCTAAAAATCAAATCAGTGAAGAATCTACTCCAGGCTGGCTCTCAACATTATGAATTCCAAGGCCTTTGACATGAAAAGGAGTGTCTTTCTAAGTAATCTGGATAATAGGGCAAATCAACAACAATATTGCCAAATTCTTTGTAGCAGGAACTTGCCATTTTTTGAACATTCTAGTTACATTTGTTTCTGTGGAGTAGATTATATCATGCAAATAGTTCCCCCCAAGATAGCAAAGAAGAAGAAAAAAACCCTAAAGAACAAATTACATGCTTATTATCTTGTTTTTAATTCAAAGTGAAAAGAAAAATGAATTTAGATATGATTGATTTCCTCTGCTACCATTAAAACTTCTGCCTATCAGTAGAGCATTTGATGATACATGTGTTTAGCCCTCACAATTCCATAGATGCTAAATTGTAGACAGGCATGCGAAGGAGTGCAAGATAATAATTTATAGAATTTTTGGTCCATTGAGCATTGGATAATTTTGATGACTTCTAAAACCCTTCAGCCTAGAAGTGCTTTATTTCAGATCCCACTATAATTAGCTACAAAGGATATTTGAGTAAGATGTGAAGTGAGGCTGGAAGGTTATTGTTAAATGAAATCAATTTCGCCTACCCTGTTTTCTAGCTGCAATATTTTCTTCTTAATCTCAGTTGGGGGGGGGGGGATAAGTCATTTCCCACAAACAATAACATCTGACGGTTTAGTAATATCTTCAGTGCTTTCTAAAGCTTTTTTTTTTTTAAGTTGAATTGGGTTGTTGTTTTTCTTCAAGACAAGACAGCTTAGAGATTCACTGCAATTTTGTACGTGCCAACTGAGAACAGTCTTGTGGAAGTTGCAAACCTATGCCAATGCACCTAGGGAGTAAGGCCCATTGTTGGTTTACTTGTTTGTCAAAACATTTTAACTTGATTTTCAAGACAATATGCCCTCACAAAACAGTTTACAAGGTTATAAACTCATGAATCTGCATATTTTTCTGTGTACCTGTATACATTTTGTACTGTTAAATAGGCACATGGGGGCTTTCCCCCTGAAATTGTCTTTTTTCCCCTCGATGGGTTCTTATGATCCAGCTAAAGATAAAACTGCTTTATCTCTTCTTTATATGAGAGTTACTCACAGTTTGGTGATTCAAATTAAAGAGGTCTTAATTTACATTTTTGGGACCATTAACAAGTATTCCTGTACTTTTAATACTTTCTGCATTACATTTAAAACATACACAAACACACTCATGGAACATGGGTGGTGTTGAGTCCCTCACGGAAAGCAAGACACGAGAAGCAGTTGTAGTTCTCAGTTTTCTTTATTCTGTGTTCAGCTCACAAGTAGATGGCTTCAGCAGCTCCCAAAACCTCCCAGCTTCTTATATAGGCATTTCCCGGGTCAATGCGATACTTTTCCCGCGCCAGCACCCGCGCATGCGCACGGCGCTGGCGACAGCCTGTCTGGTCCCGGGCAGCTTTGCACCTGCCCGGGACTGCCTGCAAATGCCCCGAGCCGTTTGCAAGGCTCGGGACATAACACCCCTTTCCCCCGGGCTAAAACTACTACCAACATATAATCATTTATTTTATGCAGTGTTCTGCTTCTCAGTGCTCCTATCGTTACCTGGCTTTTGTTTAGCCAGCAATGTTATGTAATCTTCTAAGTATTTAGGAGATTTCCTTGCTCTCTGTGACCTTCTCAGTTCTGGGTTTCTGACAGGTGTTCCCTGACTGAGGGGTGACAAGAGCCTGTTCCCCTTATCATGCCTTGGTGCCTTCCAAGGACTTTGCCCTGATGCCTGGCCTGCTTGCTCGCCCACCGGGCTCGTCAGGCCAGGGCTTCTGTCACTTTGTGACCTGGTTGACCTGCCTAGCTGTAGGCCCTCAGGCCCCTTGAAGTGATAGCCACTGCTGGGCGTTTCTGCAGACCCTCCTAAGTCCAACCAAGACCTGTCAGAGGGTTGTCCATCCCTTAAGTCCCGTTCTGTATCCGGGCTTGTGTGGGATTCTGTACCTTCCCAAAATTCAGTTACTTCCTGATTTGGGCTAGAGGTGTTGTAGTCGGGACTTGGTTCCTCGACCACCTCCCTGTATGTTTGATCCCCTGTAGGATTTGGGGTAAGGTCAGGCCAACTCTGGGGATTGTGTGCCAGCTCTCTTGCGGGGAATGATTTGTTGGGATGCTCCCAGGTATCCTCCGTGACTGGAGTGCTGTGTGATGTGTTTGGAAAGTGAGTATGCCCCCGGGGTGACTCCCTGGCTGGAGTAGGCGTGAGTGCCTGTTGTGTGGGTAAGCTCCATGAATTCCTGTTCGGAGCACTTGCGGAAGCTTGAAATGGGCCGTCAGTGGCTCCATCAGTGGAGATGGGCAGCAACTCGTGCCCTTCCCTTTGCTCCAAAGGGTCCCCCTCCCCCCCGGAAAAGACCCAGGAGTCTCATCTGAAAGGTCCCGCCTAGGGCGGAGTTGGTCGATGTGCCGACGCAGGACACGACCGTTGTCCAGGGCTACCTCGTAGGAGAGAGGACCTGTGACCCTGGAAATAGAAGCGGGGACCCATGTATGACCAGGCCCGTAATTGCGAGTCCAAACCGGGGCACCCACAAGTAGTTGTCTAGGTGCCCTAGGATGTGAGGTAGATGAAGGCAGTCTGTCCGGATGCAA